TTAAGAGCTTTGCTTCAGGATGAGAACAGAAATCGTGCTCCGGCAGCGTGGCGGCAGCAGGAGGCCCCATTAGCTAAAGTGGTGCTTCAGGTTAAGAACAGTTTCAGGTTAAGAACAGACCTCCGGTACGAATTAAGTACTTAACCTGAGGTACCACTGTATAGCAAAATGTGATCTATACAGGATGGGGGGGGGACCTTGGCCCTCCAGATGTTTCTGGACTATCCCCTCAATGGTTGGCAATGATGGGAGCCTCATCTCAGTAACATCTGGAAAGCCAAATGTTTCCCACACCTGCTATATGGCGACTGAGCCTCCAAAGTCAAGCTGATATGCACTTTTGGAGAAATCGGGCAACAGCTAAGGGATGCACAGAAGCCCCTCTGTGAAACTTTACTTGCCAAAGCTCTTTTGGGTACCCATGAAATTGCTTATGGCACAATCCTAGAGCTATCTACTCACAAGTAAGCCCTGTTGAGTTTATTGGACTTTTCCCCCAAGTAGGTAGGAAGGCAGGCATAAGATTGCAGCCTTAGATGTTTCATCCGGGTTCCACACACATGTCTAAACATCCTTGAGATTGGGAGACCAATTGTGGCCCCACCTCGATTTAACACAATTAGAAGTTGCCATATACCTGCCAATGGGAGAGGAAGGAGAAACAAACCGGTGCTGCTTCCCCACCACCCCCACCCCACCCCCACCCCGTCTTCCACAAATGGGGAGTGGAAGTGACCTGTGACCCAGCAGATGTTTCCGTACTGCAGTTCCAACCATCCTTGACCATTAGCTATACTGGCCAAGGCTGATGGAATTTTGAGCCCAGAACATCTGAAGGGCCATAGACTTCCAACTTACAACACAGAACATCAATTCCCCCCCCATTTAAATAGTATTTATGTATTTATATTAAATTTGTATACCGCTCTTCTTCCAAAGATCTCAAGGAGGTTCACAGCATAAAAAAAATATATAAAATAAAAACACAAAGGACATAATAAAAACAAGAACAAAACAAACCCATTACTACACCATCCCTTCCATGAACACATTTTAAAGGACATAGTCTGTTAATCAGCCAAAGGTCTGGTTGAAGGGGAATGCTTTTGTCTGGCTCCTAAAGATGTATCATGAAGGCGCCAGACACGCCTCCTTGGGGAGAGCATGCCACAAATGGGGAGCCACTGCAAAAAAGACTCGTTCTTATATTGTCACCATCTGGACCTGTCATGGAGGAAGGACACAGAAGGGCCTGAGGTTATGATTGATGGGGAGAGGTGGTCATTGAATTAGCTGCCAGACTATAAAATGCTTTTATTATGGTTTAGCATAAGCTGAATCACATGTTCTAAATGGTGTCTCTTGAACACTGTAGTCTCAGAAAGCAAGTCCATTGTGGTTTGCTTTGGTAACTGAAGATCTAAGAGCTCATGAAAATGTTGCATTTTGTGCTATTTTAATATAGCATTAGGTTGCTACTTCCATTTGTAATTGGAGCTGAAGACCCTGAACTCTGCAGGGAAAGCAGAAGATATTGAAATAAATTGATGTTGATGACATCAAGTGAGAAAACTATTTTTGTGTTCTTCGTACCACAGAGACAGCACATTTAGCCGACAGAGAGCCAAAGATTGCGCATCCCAGATGATGCACTTGGGAAAAAGAAAGCAATTATATACATTCATACATCTCGCTCGCCATTCAGTTCTGCAAAGTGGCCCTGCAGATGTTGTTGGACTCCAGTTCCCATCAGCCCCAGAAAACATTGTAAATGGTCAGAGATTATAGGATTTGTAGTCCAAAATAAAAAAATCTGGAGGGCTACAGGTTGCCCAACCCCAATCTAAATAAGAGATAACATTTAAATATTGCATATACACACGTCCTCTTTTGTCTTCTCTCTCTCTCTCTCTCTCTCTCTCTCTCTCTCTCTCTGCGCGTGTGTGTGTGTATGGGTGGGTGTGCGTGTGTGATAGTCTTATGATATTTAAATGTTCTTCTGATCTGTCTTAACGCCTACAGACTTCTTTCAAAACTATTCCCTTGTTTTGAAAGCAGTCCAGTGGCTACTGGAAATAGTTACAGCCACAAATTCCATCAATGCCTCTCAGAAGGAGGTTGACACAAAGCATCAATTGTCAGAGATTTATGTAAGGAGTGAAAACTCTGGAAATGTTGGCTGCATTGAAAAGTGACTAACCAGAGTGAGAGTTTTTACGTGTAATTCTGTATATAGGAAAAGAAGAGAGATTTGCTCAATGTGTCGGTCGTTCATTCGTTCGTTCGTTCGTTCTGATTTCCGGAAGCCTGTTTTTGAGCCCCTTGTGGTGTGAGGCTGCTTAGTCACAGAATAGCACAGCTGATAGAGAAAACCAATTCATATTCAGTCCTGTAAAGCCACTCACCAGGAAAAAAATGCCACAGATTCATCCATACCGTTCATTTCATGTGGATTGTAAGATTCTCAGCTCTCTGTTGACCATATTACTTTCTCCTCCAAATCACTGCCTTCCCACATTTGCCCCTTTCTCAATCCATATTTTCTCATACCCTGTCCTTTTCATAGTATCTCTAGTATGAAAAAATCCAGAGGTCAGGAAGCTTACTATCCACGTTAAACAACAGTATGGCTGGGCCCTGAGTAGATAGCCCACGTGATGTTTCATCAGTAGCTCAGATCCGTGCCATTTGTGATCCAGCCAGAGCACACCAGCCTTGTATCTTGAGCTATGGTGCAGACAGGGAACCGTTCTGGGCAACGTCCCAGGGCCCACATGCTGCTGGTGGAAGGGGCCAGAGGGAAAAGTGGGGCTGAGCAACAAATGTGAGTTTCACCTTTGGACAGCAGGCTAGTTTCTTCTTCACTCACATGCCTCTCTGCCCTTCATCCAGGAAAGCAAAAAGCATCATCAGAGATCAAGGTCCTATAGTAGTACAGCTAAATCGCTCAAGGAGGGTTCAAAGCAGGGTTGTGGCTAGGAACAGATAGAGAAACATGTGGACCTAACCTTCCCCATTCCTGTCTTGCATAAAGGGATCCCTCACCATTAGGTTCAGTCGTGGCTGACTCTGGGGTTACGGTACTCATCTTGCTTTACTGGCCAAAGGAGCCGGCGTACAGCTTCCGGGTCATGTGGCCAGCATGACTAAGCCGCTTCTGGCGAACCTGAGCAGTGCACAGAAACACCGTTTACCTTCCCGCTGGAGCGGTACCTATTTATCTACTTGCACTTTTCGACGTGCTTTCGAACTACTAGGTTGACAGGAGCAGGGACCGAGCAACGGGAGCTCACCCCATCGTGGGGATTTGAACCGCCGACCTTCTGATTGGCAAGCCCTAGGCTCTGTGGTTTAACCCACAGTGCCACCCGTGTCAAATCTCCTGATTTTGCAGTCCCAGGGAAACAGCAAAGAAGTTCAACATGTCCACGCTGGAGAGCTGCATTTCCCGAGGTGTACAGGCTTGCTTCAGTCAGTGGTTCTCATAGAGCAAGTCAAGAGAACCCCGAATGGGCAGTCCCTCCCATTTGTTTTCTCACTTTCCAACAAGTATATACCTTGAGTCTTCCAGAATTCACCAACCTAAACCATTGGTACAATACAGGAAGCTGTATGTGCCTTCGTTCCTTGCGTTGACTGTTTTTCAGCAAGAAGTCATTTGTTTCAGCCAACCTATCAGGAGCACATATAAACTAGTTACATAGATTTGTTTTTATTTTGTTAAATTTATTTGTATGTCATTGGTAATTGTTTTATATCATTTTATGTAGATAGATAATTTATTACCATCAAAGACCAGCTCACATAACATAACACAATAAAAACAGTGTTCATAAAGATAAAATATACAATCGGAGCAGATTGCAGCAATAGCTCGTGAGTTAAAATTGAGATATATACATACACCTGTACAACTGAGATTTGGGCTACTGTAAAAAATTGACCCTAAGGCGCCCCAAAGGGCAACTTCAGGATTTTCCTAGCAAGCTATTTTATTCTAGAGGATGATCTGTGCCTACAAATTTGGGTGCAGAATCTGGCTACCAGCCAGGTCGTCTTACGATCTTTGCCTAAGAGGAGAGAATTAAGTTTAGACTTGTCTGAAAGATCGGTGAACGTCTTCAGCAAAGGATCAGTGGTGTCTCTACGAATCTCAACACAAAAAGGGCATCTAAAAATATATGTTATATAATTTTATGTACAACAGTTAGCCATTTTTTAATTAAGCTTTTTATGAATTCATTTTAAAAAAAACCCAACAAATTGACATAACCCTCTAAATTCTCCCAGGCTTTGCACTTCAGAGAAATCCTTATCTGTGGACCTGAATGACTCTGTTTGCTTTGAGATGTAAATCCCTGGAACTGGATTTAAAGTGAGCTTTTCCAGATGGGATGGTCTGTCATTTTTCTCCTCTGTTCTCACTTGACGCTGCCCAGGAGCACAGAAGTGTCCAATCTTGGGTTTATGTCTGGCCGGGTGTGAATGGGTTAACTACCTGAAAAGTCAACATTTCTCAACTTCATTTTTTTAATTGTTCATTTAATTTTTAATTTAATTGAGCATTTACTGTTCCCAACCCTAACCACGTGGAAAGCCATCTAATTAGACTTTAATTTGATTTTGACTTGTTTTTAGGAGGTAATTTAGTTATTGTTTGATTTTATACCAATGTTATATATCTGATGTTAGCTGCCCTGAGCCTGACTTTGGCCGGGGAGGGCAGGATATAAATAAAAGATTATGATTATGATTATTATTTAAAAAAGCAGGCACCATTCAGAAAGAAGGGGGTGTTCACATGTTGCATTCAACGAGTGTATGAGGGCCACCTGGTATTATGCTTGAGTAGTTGCCCATGGTGCCCACAGGTGGATCAGGACCACGTTGCTTTGGTTTTGGGGCATATTTCAATTCCATATCTATCATGAGGTTAATAACCTTTGTTTTTCACTCCTGTGGGTGGGACAATTGTTTGATGGCTTGTTTGATCATTCCAGCTTCGGGGAGACAACTCAGACCAGAAGACACTGAGGCTGACGGTGAGGCTGATGCAGAAGATGACTCTGTGAGTAACACCAAACAGTTTTGCAGCCACCACTGAGATTTCTCAGCATCTTTTCCTTTATGACAAGAGCTAAGAAGATCAAGAAGTCAAACTAAAGCCTGAGTTTAATTCACAAACCATACTGACTCCCTTTTACGCCCAGAACTAGAATAGAAAATGCAATTTTATTTGAAAGTCTCCAGTCCATATTAAATGTAACCCAGAGCAGAAACCTAAAAATTGGGATGTGACTGCCTGGTACTTAAAAATAGTAAAGGTAAAGGGACCCCTGACCATTAGGTCCAGTCGTGGCCGACTCTGGGGTTGCAGCGCTCATCTCGCTTTATTGGCCGAGGGAGCCGGTGTGCAGCTTCTGGGTCATGTGGCCAGCATGACTAACCCGCTTCTGGTGAACCAGAGCAGTGCACAGAAACACCGTTTACCTTCCGGCTGGAGCAGTACCTATTTATCTACTTGCACTTTGACATGCTTTCGAACTGCTAGGTTGGCAGGAGCAGGGACCGAGCAACAGGAGCTCACCCTGTTGCAGGGATTTGAACCGCCGACCTTCTGATCGGCAAGCCCTAGGCTCTGTGGTTTAACCCACAGCGCCACCCGTCTCCCTTTTTGTACTTAAAAATACTCAGGGCTAAAGCCCATGGCGCATATTTGCCTCTGGGCAAATGAAGGTGGCTGATGGGATCTTACCTGTGCTGCATTATACAGCACACCTGTTTAAAAGTGTGAGGGGCTTGGGTTGAGCTGTGAAGGGATAGACAAAGGGTTGGATGAGGTGTAAAATAAAGGGGTTTTTGTCAGTTGTAAAGGAGGAGTGGTGTGAGGAAAGTGGGGGGTTGGCAAAGGGATTGGTGAGTAGGTGGGGTTGGCGAACAGAAGCGGCAGCCCCAGTTATATGTAATAAATAATGGTTTGCATAGTCAATTTGAAAATTTTGGCTGTGGGAAAAAAAGAAGTTAGGTATGTCCGAAGAGTCCTGCTGGATCTGCTGAAAAATCCACCGTTATGTCAGTGGCCAACAAATGACTCTTAAAAACTCACAGCCCTGGTATGAAGGCATATGGCCTCTCCCACTGTTTGCCCCCAGGAAATGTCATTCACAGGCATACCACCTTTGATCCTGGTTTTACTGCCACTCCTTTACAGATACACATCTAATTCTTTTTTTTAGTTTTGTCAGATTTTGCTGTGGGGAAGGTGATGCAATGAATTCAAAGGATTCCCTTCCTCTGCTGCTTCCTCTCCTTAAATTAGGGATGGGGAACATTTTTTAAGCCAGTGGCCACATTCCATCAGGAAAAGTGGGGGGAGGTTGCAAATGCGGGGGAGGGAGAGAGCTAAGGGTGGACAGAGCTGCAGCCAAAAGTGGGCAGGGATACCATAAGCTCTCTCTTTTGCCACCTCTTCTCTGGAAATGTCTGGCTTCTGTGCTGGGCACTAAGAAAGAGGCTCGTATTCCTCAGCACCCATTGCAGAAACACAGTGGGCTGTCAGAGGAACAATAGAGTGACCTTGGGGGTAGAGGCTAGGAGGAGAAACCAGACTGGGAAGGAAGGGATGCAGGCTAGACAAAAACCTACCATGCACCAGATCCTTGGCCCTGATTTAAAGCCTTCAAACTGGCAGCGTCCATTGTTCATCAAGTAATATTGAATAGGGGGTACCTGTCGATGGTGGAAGGGGCTCCCTTGAGACTGCCTCCCTTCATTGGGGGGGTTTTAAGCAGAGGTTGGATAGCCATCTGTCATGGATGCTTCAGTTGAGATTCCTGCATTGGGTTCCTTTCCAACTCTACAATTCAATACTAAATTCTGTTGTTCCACTCCTACAGGTCGACGAAGTGACAACTGAAAACATACGACCAAGACCACAAGGATCCTCTCCTGTTTATGAGTATTGCATAGAAGATGAATATTTTAACAAAAAGGCAAGACGTGACACAATGGGATTTTGTCTTTCACTGTTTCGCTAGTGTCAAATTCTCAGTTCTTTTGGACCATCGAGACAATGGCTTCCTTAGCCCTTTGAAGTTAAAGGCAAAACTGGCATCTGTTGGCTATGGGGAGAACCACCTGTTCTTTCCCCAAAGAATGCCCCATGCAAGACACTACCTAATGACATAGTGTTGTCCCAAATTCTAGAGGGAAAGCCAATGGACCATTAAGGCAGCTAAGCCCTGCAAGGAAAGAGTGGTGGTGCTTTATAATCACCATGATTATAAAGATAAGCCATCCCTCACTTGGCCGAATACTTGGCTGAGTACTTTGGCCCTGCCCTAGATAAAACCATTGAAACTAAGCATATGTGGCCAGCTGGAACATCTGAGCAAATAAAAGTGTATTTGCCTGGTGACAAAATGGCCCTATAGTTTATTTGCATTTTATGTACTATTTATTTTGGACAATTCATATACTGCTTAATTACACCTTCATTGCATATCTTTAGGCACCATGTGCCTCTTCACCCACCCAAATCTTTGGCTAATTAAACAATGTAGGGCCTTTTAAACTAAACTTACTGTTTTCTGTCTATTATGTTATGTATTTTTGTGTTCTTATGATCTTATGATCCTTGAATGAAATGCAGTATATAAATGTGAATAAATAGGTTTTTTTCCTGGTCCCTGTGTGTGGGTGTGTACACACACATACATATATACCTTTGAAGTCTGAATAGAGGTGATAATTGTGTGCAGATAACTGATTATCTCATATTTCAGAACCCTTGAAATGAATTGTCCAGCTATTGTTAACTGCAGTGCCACTCCCACCACAGAAAAAGAGCTAGTGAGACTACAGAATGACAGATGTGTGAGAAGTTTGGCATGATCTGTGCAAATCCATTTTAGCTAACTTAAAAATTACACCTGTGTTTGCAGCTTCAGCAAGATATAGAGAACAGACAAAGACGGGATTCTTCTATCAAAATGAGTGATTCACAGGTGAGCTTAAGGTGTCTGATAAACACCAGGTACGCCCTTCTGTACAGAAGAGCATTGTTTTGGAGCTCTTCAAACTGAATGATCTTCTCATTGATACCTGTCCCTGGAAGGGAATGCAACCACAGATTTACAAATACAAGCGTTAACTGTTACTTGCCAAAGAATACTTCCCAAACTGGTTCCAGTTTGCGAAGCCACAGAGGGCCAGTCCATACAAGTCTTGGGTGTGTGTAAGTTGTATGTTTGGAAAATATGCATGTACAGATCCCTGCAGATAGGTACACACTCACACAACTCGGTCTACACATGGTGTGGGCGCATGTGGGTGCATGCCTGAGATATGCATTCAAGCCTCACTGCCTGTGTGAACCAGCCTATAAGCTTTCTGAAATGTTTCCCCAGTCTTTCAAGGGAGCTTGTGATAGACCAAAGTCCCCACCCACAGATTCTCACTTGTCACAGCGCTGAAGATTCTACATATACATATCCAGGGCTCTGTTGTACTCCATGCTAAGAATAATAATTAAATATCTATGTCCAGGACATCCAAGCACTGATGGATTCTGCAACCAATATTTGCATTATTTATTCTACAATGTTTTCTTTTCTGCTTAGTTTATTTTGGTGTTGCTTGTAATGGGATGGGAAGAGACATGGCCACTTTCCCCCTTGGAAGTCATCTGAAACTGGAAAACACTCTACCCAGAAAACCTTTATGTTGACTCTGAGTATGTGCAAATAAGCCCAGCAGTTCCACAGTTGTCAGTGTAGTTTGCTGTTTTCTGGATGCCAAGGGTTTCAACTATTCAGTATAATGTCACGCTGAAACCAAATTGTGTGGGAAGATCTCCACATAGATTTTTCACAATCAATCAAACTGTTTACCCAAGTTACCTTGGGGTTCAATTAATTTGCTGTAGAGCAGCCACACCTGTGAAACGAAACAGGATATGCAGGTGGCTGGAGCTGCGAAGAATGATATTGAATATACCCGTTGTACACCTAAGTGAACATTCGTTTTTCAAAAGGAGCCGGATTTAATAATATTCAAAGCATTGCAATAGTGGTGCTACTGTCTCTGGATGAGAGACTACTGACTTGAGGCGCAGTTAGTGCTCTGTTTTGGTTTAAAACCTGGATAAGGAAACTTTTTAGCCTTTCAGGGGCTAGAACATTCTAGAAGCTTTTGTAAATCTACACAATGCGCAGAAGTGCGCCTTCGATGCAACCACCCTTCAGCTGATGTTTACATGTTATGACAGGAATGGCTTGACGTCTTCAACATACAGTACTAGAAATGAGTTTTGATAATGTACTTTTTGGTCCGACTAGGAATCTATGGAGGTTACCTTACAAACGGAAGTCGAATCTGGTGCAAGTGGATTTAGTGTGGCTGGTGGAGGAACTGAAGGATTATTTGTGAAGCAAGTGCTCAAAGAGTCCCCAGCATCAAAGTTATTCAGTCTGAGAGAAGGTACAGTAAAGTCTTATGTCACATTTATTTTAGTAAAATTAGCTATGAAAGTGAAACCTGGCCAGATGGGCGGGGTATAAATAAATTATTATTATTAACCTAATTAAAAAGTTAATTAAAATGTTGGTCAAATTTATGCAAACTTTTTTTTAAAAGCACATTGGACAATCTATAGAGGAGGAGACAGTGGGCTTTCTCTTTTTTAAACAAATGGCTGAACAAATAACAGTAGAAGAGCCGGGACTAACCTACTTACAGTGCAATCCTATAAATGTCTACTTAGAAGTAAGCCTTATTGAATTTAATAGGCCTTACTCCCAGGCAAGCTGGTATAGGACTGCAGTCTTAGTCAATTGGCTGTGATCTAAAATTATCTTGACGGATGGCCAGCTGTAGCTGGAGGGCTTAGAATCTGTAAAAAAAACAACTGTACAAATAAAATCCTGCTCATGAATGCTCACACAACCTAAGGGACAATTCAAATGATCAGATACAGCAGTTTTGTACTCCAGGGTGATCCTCACACACACGAGACAACAACCTGTTTGATGGTCACTTGCAACCTGGTTTTGTGAATGCATGCATAAAGTGCCTTCGCTGAAGGATTATCTGAAGATCTCTCTGAAAACCAGCTTGGCCACAATTCTGCATGCACAAGTTTGGGATGCTTGTTATTTTCATCATATGACCTGATTTCTTGCAGCAAGGAGAGCTCCGGTGTCCATGCAGAATTACTGTAACTGGAAATTATATGCAAGATGTCAATGCTAGCATTTATTTCTGGGAGATATTCTGTGTAAATATTTTCATGAGCAGGTTGTTGAATCAAGACAGTAGAATATGCGTTTTTTAATGGTACAACAGGCTCCTTTTCAACGGATTTAGAAATGGCCACATCATAGCTGTCAACGTTTCCCTTTTTTTAAGGGAAATTCCCTTATTCTGAATAGGATTCCTTGCAAGAAAAGAGAAAAGTTGACAGCTATGGCCCATGTGGGTGGGTGGGTGGGTGGGGTGTTTGCTGTTGTTGATAGATGTCTTTGCATAAACAAGGCATCTAATTAACGAGCCCGATCTTTTGACACCCAATTAGTTACTGCTGCCTCTTTTCACAGGTGATCAGCTTCTAAGTGCCACAATCTTTTTCGATAATATCAAATATGAAGATGCACTCAAGATTCTGCAGTATTCCGAGCCGTACAAAGTACAGTTCAACCTCAAAAGAAAGCTCGCCAGGAAGGAAGATCTTGAAACAATGCATTTTGCAACGCAATCCAAAAAAGAAAAAACGAGTCAGGTAATGCACAGCTGTAAAATTACACTTCAGATCAAGGCATGGATCTTGGGGGAGGTATTAACTTGACCATCGCTCGTGTAATTTTAGGACAGTGGTCTAGATCCGGTGATATATTGGGCAAACCGAAAGGCATTTCTGCTAGACCAAGGTAGCCCTGTCAAATTATCGCAATTTTTTCAACCCCACTGCAGCGCCTCTCCACTCCATTGCTGCACCACACATTTCTCCAACAGTGAGCCAAGAAACCTCCATCATGCAAACTAACACCCACTCATCTGTCTCTGGATCCAACCTTCAGGGGTGGTTTTTTTTTAGTGGAAGTGAAATTTGAGGGATGCGGCCTTTGAGGCATTGAATTATTGAAGCCCTTTTTGTGTGTGTTCTTCAGTTTCTGTAAGAATGCAGAAAGCCTCTCAGAATAGGGTGCAATCTCTCTCTCTCTCTCTCTCTCACTCTCTCTCTCTCTCTCTCTCTGTGTGTGTGTGTGTATCACATTGGGTTGTCGGGCGTCTTTTTATTATAATTTATTTATTGAATTTTATACCGTCCTATACCTGGGGGAGGGGGTGGTCCTCAGGGCGGTTCGCAGAATGAAATCAAGATATAAAACCACAAGATAAATTGTAAAAATAAAAACATCGCAATATCCCCCCCCCACACACACACACATAAAAAACACATTTTAAAAGGGCATAGGATGTCAGTCAAATGAACCAAAGGCCTGGTTAATGTCTTGAAGACTTTTTAATTCTTGAGCAGCCAGTCATTTAAATGTTTTTTGGGGGTGAGGATTACTACTTTTTAATGTGCTTATATTGCTGTACACTGACCTGATGTTTCATGGGAGGGTAGTATGTAAATACTTTTATAAATAAAACAGATACATAAAGGGGGTATTTTAAGCCTAAGGACAACTTTCCTTCATCGACAACTTCCTGAGGGACCTGACAGGCCAGCAGTAGACAGGGCCTGAGGCCATAGACATACTTTGATGAGGAACATGGCTCTTTGTATAGCAGGCCACATTTTTATCCAAAGTATCAAATGTGGTGACAGTAATAATAATACAACAAAACAACAATACCACAAACTGGCTTAAAAGTATAAAACCAAATTTACTAGAATAATAGCTAGAATAGAGATAGACTTGTAACCATTCAAACAACAAACATACTAAGGTGCCAAGACAAAGCCTGGAGACACTGTAAACATGGAGTGGATAAATGTACAATTCTGTCTTAACAACGTAAACGTTATACAGACTGGATAAATGAACCGTTCAACAAGTAACGCAAGTCCAATCATAGAATGGCAACCCCGTGCCGCCACAACGGCAAGGGTAGCACACTGAAGAATATAAAAAAGTTTCAAAATACAGTCTGTATAACGTATACTGCACATGTAATTTGTTAAAATAGAGTTGTACATTTATCCACTCCATGTTTACAGTATCTCCAGGCTTTGTCTTGCACATGGCACCTTAGTATGTTTGTTGTTTGAATGGTTACAAGTCTAACTCTATTCTAGCTATTGTTCTAGTAAATTTGGTTTTATACTTTTAAGCCAGTTGGTGGTGTTGTTGTTTTGTTACATTTTTATCCATTCTCCACAGTTCAAGGACACATTCGTGACAGAAAGGAATACAGTGGTGCCCCGCAAGACGAATGCCTCGCAAGACGAAAAACTCGCTAGACGAAAGAGTTTTCCGTTTTTTGAGTCGTTCCGCAAGACGAATTTCCCTATGGGCTTGCTTCGCAAGACGAAACGTCTTGCAAGTTCTTGCGAGTTTGTTTCCTTTTTCTTAAAGTTGCTAAGCCGCTAAGCCGTTAATAGCCGCTAAGCTGCTAATAGCCGTGCTTCGCAAGATGAAAAAACCGCAAGACGAAGAGACTCGCGGAACGGATTAATTTCGTCTTGCGAGGCAACACTGTACAGACAAGTGAGGGTAAAGAGATGTTTTCAAGGCCTGGGTAAAAAAAAGTTTTGAAAAATACATTGAATTTGCCGTACCTCACTGTCGCCATCTAGTGTCACATTTATATAGTGCACTTAAAATGTTTTATTTGCAGCTGTATAGCTGAGTCCCCAGTCTAGCATCAACCTTTTGCTGTTGCATGCTAGTAAAGGCATTTCAGCCACACCAACTCGCATTATCCAATGTCTTAGCCTTTTGCCCCAAAGTGGAGTGGAGCCCTGGCCTCAGCAGTGCTGCTGACAGCATTTTGTTTTCTGAGGAGACAGAGCCTCCTCCTGTTCTGTTTGGGTGTGTTCGGCTGCTGTAATGCTAGGCCCTATCCCCAGGTTAAGGGGTTGAGAAACAGGCCTCCTGTCAGCAGCTTCATGTTTCAGGTGAATCACAGCACTTGACAAGCTGAAGACAACTGGCCTATTAGTATTGTGCCTAAGGACACTTTCTTGGAGCAGAAGTATCCCCCCCCCCCGAATTAATCGCTTCCTATGAAGCATCTCAAAGCAATTTCACGATACGATAAAAACCACAAACAGAACAGCTGGTTACGTAAAGACAGTTGAAACAATTGCTTATATAAAAGCAATTTAAACAATTGCACATAGAAAGCGATTCCAAATAAATATAAATACCAATTGGGATGAAAACCTCCACTTAGAAGGCTTGCGGAAAGAGGAAGGCCTTCAGCTGGCACAAAAAAAGACAATAAAAACCAGACCTGTCTGATAAGTGGAAGAAGTTCAGTGCGGCCACACTAAGGGCCTATTTCTGACATTGTGCAGAGTAGACATCCTAATCTGTGTTACAAACATAGAATTGTAGAGCTGGAAGGGACCCCCAGAGTTATCTAGTCCAACCCCCTGCAATGCAGGAATATGCAGATGGCCTATATATATAATAATATATAATGGTAATATTTTTATTTATACCCCACCCCAGGTTGCCTCAGGCACTCTGGGCGGCTTCCAACACACGAATAAATAATAATAAAACATCAAACATTAATAGTAACAATCAGATTCTATAGTACATAAAAAAGTCACAATAACTTTAAAATAAGAAATTTATATCAGATAAAGCACTATTCAATAATCCAATAGTAAACGGTAAAATTAAACATCAGCAGATAATAATTTAACGGTTTAACTTATCAATTCCAAGAAAGAATTACTAATCTATAATCAATAAAGTAACAGCAAATGCATAAAATAACAGCAAACGCACAAAACCATGTAAAAGGGTCAAACTGAGAAACAAGGACACACAACTCAGTTTTTAAAAACTATCCCTGAACTCCTCTCTTCCCAGCTGCTTTTGCTGTTCTCACAGTCATGGTCTGGGAAAGGCTCTTGGGGATGGAGGTTGCGGCAAGGCAGGTGGAAAAGCCATTGCCTGCAGAAAGTCTCTTCCCCCCTCAGTTCTTCCTCTGGAGCAGAGCAGGTCTCCTATAAATATAGGTTGTGGTGACTTATGGAACACAATGCACACTCCAGTTGTGAGGTGCGAGGATGCAAGACCAAGGTCCTCTTACACAGGGCAGGCTTATTATACACCCTTGTGCAAATTATTTGAAACAAACAGTGTAGTTTATTGTACGAAACTCACATATACATGTAGAAAACTCGCATTAGTAATGGATTTGACCTCCACTATTTTTAAGCAGAATTTGAACATGGTTTGGCATGGAATCTACTAGTTTCGAACAGTCACTGTTGATTTTTGGATCCCTGTACCACACTTGAAGAGTGGCGAAAGCTGTACTGGGATGCAATCTCAAAAATGATAGAATGATCTCGATACGAATCCAAGGCAGACCTTTTAACATCACAGTAATCCAAGTTTATGCCCCAACTACTGGTGCTGAAGAAACTGAAATTGACCGATTCTATGAAGACTTACAACACCTTATAGAAGTGACACCAAAAAAGGATGTTCTTCTCATTATAGGGGACTGGAATGCTAAAGTAGGGAATCAAGAGATAAAAGGAACAACTGGCAAGTTTGGCCTTGGAGATCAAAACGAAGCAGGGCAAAGGCTAATAGAGTTCTGTCAAGAGAACAAGCTGGTCATCACAAACACGCTTTTCCAACAACACAAGAGACGACTCTACACATGGACATCACCAGATGGGCAGCATCGAAATCAGATTGATTATATTCTCTGCAGCCAAAGATGGAGAAGCTCTATACAGTCAGCAAAAACAAGACCTGGAGCTGACTGTGGCTCAGATCATCAGCTTCTTATAGCAAAATTCAAGCTTAAACTGAAGAAAGTAGGAAAAACCACTGGGCCGGTAAGATACAATCTAAGTCAAATCCCTTATGAATACACAGTGGAAGTGACGAACAGGTTTAAGGATTTAGATTTGGTGGACAGAGTGCCTGAATGGATGGAGGCTCGTAACATTGTACAGGAGGCAGCAACGAAAACCATCCCAATGAAAAGGAAATGCAAGAAAGCAAAGTGGCTGTCCAACGAGGCCTTACAAATAGCGGAGGAGAGAAGGCAAGCAAAATGTGAGGGAGATAGTGAAAGATACAGGAAATTGAATGCAGATTTCCAAAGAACAGCAAGGAAAGACAAGAAGGCCTTCTTAAATGAGCAATGCAAACAAATAGAGGAAAACAACAGAATGGGAAGAACCAGAGATCTGTTCAAGAAAATTGGAGATATGAAAGGAACATTTCGTACAAAGATTACCATAATAAAAGACAAAAGTGGAAAGGACCTAACAGAAGCAGAAGACATCAAGAAGAGGTGGCAAGAATACACAGAGGAACTATACCAGAAAGAAATGGATGCCTCGTACACCCCAGGTAGTGTGGTTGCTGACCTTGAGCCAGACATCCTGGAAAGTGAAGTCAAATGGGCCTTAGAAAGCACTGCAAATAACAAGGCCAGTGGAAGTGATGGTATTCCAGCTGAACTATTTAAAATTTTAAAAGATGATGCTGTTAAGGTGCTACACTCAATATGCCAGCAAATTTGGAAAACTCAGCAGTGGCCAGAAGATTGGAGAAGATCAGTCTACATCCCAATCCCAAAGAAGGGCAGTGCCAAAGAATGCTCCAACTACCGCACAATTGCACTCATTTCACACGCTAGCAAGGTTATGCTTAAAATTCTACAAGGAAGGCTCAAGCAGTATGTGGATCGAGAACTCCCAGAAGTGCAAGCTGGATTTAGAAGAGGCAGAGGAACCAGAGACCAAATTGCAAACATGCGCTGGATTATGGAGAAAGCTAGAGAGTTCCAGAAAGACATCTACTTCTGCTTCATTGACTATGCAAAAGCCTTTGACTGTGTCGACCACAGCAAACTATGGCAAGTTCTTAAAGAAATGGGAGTGCCTGATCACCTCATCTGTCTCCTGAGAAATCTCTATGTGGGACAAGAAGCTACAGTTAGAACTGGATATGGAACAACTGATTGGTTCAAAATTGGGAAAGGAGTACGACAAGGCTGTATTTTGTCTCCCTGCTTATTTAATTTATATGCAGAATACATCATGCGAAAGGCTGGGCTGGATGAATCCCAAGCTGGAATTAAGATTGCCGGAAGAAATATCAACAACCTCAGATATGCAGATGACACAACCTTGATGGCAGAAAGTGAGGAGGAATTAAAGAACCTTTTAATGAGGGTGAAAGAGGAGAGCGCAAAATATGGTCTGAAGCTCAATATCAAAAAAACGAAGATCATGGCCACTGGTCCCATCACCTCCTGGCAAATAGAAGGGGAAGAAATGGAGGCAGTGAGAGATTTTACTTTCTTGGGCTCCATGATCACTGCAGATGGTGACAGCAGCCACGAAATTAAAAGACGCCTGCTTCTTGGGAGAAGGGCAATGACAGGCCTAGACAGCATCTTGAGAAGTAGAGATGTCACCTTGCCAACAAAGGTCCGTATAGTTAAAGCCATGGTCTTCCCAGTAGTGATGTATGGAAGTGAGAGCTGGACCATAAAGAAGGCTGATCGCCGAAGAATTGATGCTTTTGAATTATGGTGCTGGAGAAGACTCTTGAGAGTCCCATGGACGGCAAGAAGATCAAATGCATCCATTCTTAAGGAAATCAGACCTGAGTGCTCACTGGAAGGACAGATCCTGAAGCTGAGGCTCCAGTACTTTGGCCACCTCATGAGAAGAGAAGACTCCCTGGAGAAGACACTGATGCTGGGAAAGATGGAGGGCACAAGGAGAAGGGGACGACAGAGGACGAGATGGTTGGACAGTGTTCTCGAGGTTACCAGCATGAGTTTGACCAAACTGCGGGAGGTAGTGGAGGACAGAGGTGCCTGGCGTGCTCTGGTCCATGGGGTCACGAAGAGTCGGACACGACTAAACGACTAAACAACAACAACAACACCACACTTGAATCAGCGCCTGAATGAGCTTCTCCATAGTCGTACAGTCTACAGCACGGAGGCGACTTTTGCATATAGCCCACAAGTTCTCAATGGGATTTACATCCGGGGAATTCCCTGGCCAATCAAGTACCTGTATTTGCTGCTCTGTCATGAATTTCTTCACCACTTTCAATGTGTAACAGGGGGCTAGGTCCTGCTGCAATATCCCAGTACCATCAGGATACGTTTTTTTCCAGCTCTGCAATAACTCTCTTTCGTAGAACCTCAGTATATTGTGGCGAGCACATTATTCCTTCTATTGGCTATAGGCTTCCGACACCATTATGACCAACTCATTTTTCGTGTTTGTTTTGAGTACAGGATTACGAGTAAGATAGAAAACATGCTTTGTTTCAATTAATTTTCACAAGGGAGTACACCTTCACTTATTAACAGCTTCACACTGTGTCGTAGCGGCTAGGGACATTGCATCTAGGTTTCAGGAGGGGTACATCACTGGGGAATGGGAAAAGACTGCAAAATTGAGTAAGTTGTATTATCTACATGATATTTTTCAGCAAGTGTTTGTCACCTTGAATTGCTAGAGGGACCTAATGGTCAGGGGTCCCTTTACCTTTTCACATTCCCGGAAGCATGAGGCTTTTATGGAATGTGAATCAGTTGTTTTGGAGACTCGTGCACACTCCTGTTTGCTCTGCTTCCAGCGACCTCCCAGCACTGGTTTGTGAAGCCGTGCATGCACAACGTTGGCTACCAGTCACATCTGTCCTGTAGTTCCCTGAGAAATACTGCATTTTAATGTGTTTTCTGCCTAACCAGCTTCAGTCTGATTTGAAAATGTAAGCCATATGATGACATCCATGCCCCCTCTCCACTCACTGATGTGGGCAGGCAATAGGAGACTTGGAAAAACATCCAACCTTTTATCTCATTGTATTATGAAAAAAAGGGATGCGGGTGGCGCGGTGGGTTAAACCACAGAGCCTAGGACTCGCCGATCAGAAGGTCGGTGGTTCGAATCCCTGCGACGGGGTGAGCTTCCGTTGCTTGGTCCCAGCTCCTGCCAACCTAGCAGTTCGAAAGCACGTCAAAAGTGCAAGTAGATAAATAGGAACTGCTCTGGCGGGAAGGTAAACGGCATTTCTGTGCGCTGCTCTGGTTCACCAGAAGCGGCTTAGTCATGCTGGCCACATGACCCGGAAGCTGTATGTCGGCTCCCTCAGCCAATAAAGTGAGATGAGCGCCGCAACACCAGAGTCGGTCACGACTGGCCCTAATGGTCAGGGGTCCCTTTATCTTTTACCTTTATTATGAAAAAGCTTTAATAAAAATTATTATTATTATTGAAGGGAAATACACCCAACCATGCTGATGTGTCCGATGATGTCCAAATGTGATTTGAAATGAAGCAGAGGGAAATTATCCCACTGTGTTTTAAGCTGGTAATGTGTACACAGCCAAAGTCTCTCTGTTAATTTAGTATGTTTTAACGTTTTGGGGTTTCTTGTTGCTATTTATTCATTTAAACATTCTGATGTACATTGCTTTCAACAATTTTGAAGATGCAAAGGGGTGGGGATTAAATACATACGTAATAAGTACTACAACCATTTATTTTGGAAATTGTATTTCTCAGGGGAAGGAAGCACCGGAAACATCAGAAAAGACATTCACAGAAGAAGATAAAGCAGACTTAATTGTAAAACAAAGAGTTGGAAGACCAAAAAGATCCAAGAAGGACAGACTTTCCTGGCCAAAATTCCAGTCATTAAAAGGTAAAAAGATACTGGGGCAAAGGAGATCTCGTAGCACGTCAGATGCATACGAACATGCGATTCCCGATATATCCCCAACAAGCACAGACACAGAATCACAATTTCAGCCAGAAGAAATTCACGCAAAAGTTAAAAGAGGAAGTCAAAAGAAACTAAGATTCCCCAGTATTGGATTCAAGATGCACAGAACTAAACAAGAACCAGAGGAGAGGACAAAATACGAAGTCAAACCTCTCACAGACTATGAAAATGATACTGCGCAGGAAATCCCAGAATTAATAACAGTGCAATATTCTACTTCATGGGCTAAAGAGAAAAAACTGGAAGAAATACAGGAACACAGAAAAGATGCTAAGGAAACAAAATTTGAACTGCCATACCATACAGGTAAATACCCTGAAGTTGAATTAACAATTAAAAAAACAAAAGAAAAGAAATCAAAATCCAAAGCCATCACAAAAAAATCAGAAACGACAGTGATAACAACACAGATAACAAAACCTATATTGCAAACAGGTGAAATACAAGATGTACAAATAAAACCGATAACACCACCAAAACAACGAAAAAAGAAGCAAAAGGGATCCACAGAAAAAATGTATACAAAATTACAAATGGACAACGAACAAACAGAAAAAGGAAAAAAAGACATGGATGGCATCCGAGGAGTAATTAATCAAAATGAAGAAGATTCAAACGTCATGATAGCAACACCTGACATACGTATGCCGACAGCCAAAGCTTCTTTGGAACTTAAAACTCCACACATACAACTAGAGACACCATCAACTGATATGTCTCTGGGTGCTGCTGAGATTAAGAAAGAGGGCATGGACACTACGTTTAAAATGCCAAAATTCCAAATGCCAAAATTTGGAACAGAAATGAAGGCTCCAGACTTAAAGGTTGAGGCACAATCGGCTGATATTGCTGTAGGTGGAGTTGAAGCTAATCTGGAGGGCACCGACAATAAATTTACGATGCCAAAACTCCAAATGCCCAAGTTTGGAATGTCACTTCCCAAGGAGAAACTCGCTGCAGAGGGAGAAATCACCTTACCTTCTGTGGAAGTGGATATCTCCAAACCAGAACTGAAAGGGGAAGTGACCCTGCCCTCTGTGGGCATCGAGACTGACGTGAAATTGCCTGGAGCTGAAATGAAGGTACCTAGCGTTGAGTTGGAGGTCTCTGAGAAGGGCAAAATCAAAACACCTGATGTCAAAATGCCAAGCGTCAAGGTCCCAAAAATAAAACCTCCTCAAATGGGAGTCTCACTGCCCAAGGTTGAAGCAGACATCTCTGTTCCGAAAGCAAAAGTGGAAATTCCAGAGGCAGAGGTCTCTGTTAAGGTGCCTGATGCAGAAGGAAGCATCGAGGGTGGCGGAATGAAAATACACATGCCAAAGTTCAAGATGCCGAGTATGGGTTTCTCCAAACCAGAAATCAAAGGTCCCAAAGTCGATGTGGACATCAGCGCACCCAAGGTTGACATTGCTCTTCCGGACGTCAGTGTAACCAAGCCTGAGATCAAAGCAGGTGACATTTCAGCAGACATGAAGTTCACAGCACCTGACATAAAGATTCCAAAGGGGGAGGCTTCCTTGGAACTGAAGGCTCCAGACTTGAAGGTTGAGGCACCATCAGCAGATGTCATTCTAGGCGGAGTTGAAGCAAAGCTGGAGGGTACGGACAGTAAATTTAAGATGCCAAAATTCCAAATGCCCAAGTTTGGAATGTCACTTCACAAAGGGAAGGCCGCTGCAGAGGGAGAAATCACCTTACCTTCTATGGAAGTGGATATCTCCAAACCAGAACTGAAAGGGGAAGTGACCCTGCCATCTGTGGCCATCGAGACTGACGTGAAATTGCCTGAAGCTGAAATGAAGGCACCTAGTGTGGAGTTGGAGGTCTCTGAGAAGGGCAAAATCAAAATGCCTGATGTCAAAATGCCAAGCGTCAAGGTTTCCAAAATGAAGACTCCTCAAGTGGGAGTCTCACTGCCAAAGGTTGAAGCAGACATCTCTGTTCCCAAAGCAAAAGTGGAAATTCCAGAGGCAGAGGTCTCTGTTAAGGTCCCTGAAGCAGAAGGAAGCATCGAGGGTGGCGGAATGAAAATACACATGCCAAAGTTCAAGATGCCCAGTATGGGTTTCTCCAAACCAGAAATCAAAGGTCCCAAAGTCGATGTGGACATCAGCGCACCCAAGGTTGACATCGCTCTTCCGGACGTCAGTGACATTTCAGCAGACATGAAGTTCACAGCACCTGACATAAAGATTCCAAAGGGGGAGGCTTCCTTGGAACTGAAGGCTCCAGACCTAAAGCTTGAGGCACCATCGGCTGATATTGATGTAGGTGGCATTGAAGCGAAGCTGGAGGGCACAGACAGTAAATTTAAGATGCCCAAATTCCATATGCCCAAGTTTGGAATGTCAGTTCCCAAGGGGAAAGCTGTTGCAGAGGGAGAAATCACCTTACCTTCTGCGGAAGTGGATGTTTCCAAACCAGAACTGAAAGGGGAAGTGACCCTGCCCTCTGTGGGCATCGAGACTGATGTGAAATTGCCTGGAGCTAAAATGAAGGCACCTAGTGTGGAGTTGGAGGCCGCTGAGAAGGGCAAAATAAAAATGCCTGATGTCAAAATGCCAAGCGTCAAGGTTCCCAAAATGAAGACTCCTCAAGTGGGAGTATCGCTGCCAAACACTGAGGGAGACATCTCTGTTCCCAAAGCAAAAGTGGAAATTCCAGAAACAGAGGTCTCTGTTAAGGTGCCTGATGCAGAAGGTAGCATTGATGGTGGCGGGATGAAAATACACATGCCAAAGTTCAAGATGCCCAGTATGGGTTTCTCCAAACCAGAAATCAAAGGTCCCAAAGTTGATGTGGACGTCAGCTCACCCAAGGTTGACATCGCTCTTCCAGACGTCAGTGTAACCAAGCCTGAGATCAAAGCAGGTGACATTTCAGCAGATATCAAGTTCACAGCACCCGACGTGAAGATTCCAAAGGGAGAAGCTTCCTTGGAACTGAAGGCTCCAGACTTGAAGGTTGAGGCACCATCGGCTGATATTGATGTAGGTGGCATTGAAGCTAAGCTGGAGGGTACGGGCAGTAAATTTAAGATGCCAAAATTTCAAATGCCCAAGTTTGGAATGTCACCTTCCACAGGGAAAGCCACTGCAGAGGGAGAAATCAGCTTACCTTCTGTGGAAGTGGATATCTCCAAACCAGAACTGAAAGGGGAAGTGACCCTGCCCTCTGTGGGCATTGAGACTGACGTGAAATTGCCTGAAGCTGAAATGAAGGCACCTAGTGTGCAGTTGGAGGTTGCTGAGAAGGGCAAAATCAAAATGCCTGATGTCAAAATGCCAAGCGTCAAGGTTCCCAAAATGAAGACTCCTCAAGTGGGAGTCTCACTGCCAGAGGTTGAGGCAGACATCTCTATTCCCAAAGCAAAAGTGGAAATTCCAGAGGTAGAGGTCTCTGTTAAGGTGCCTGATGCAGAAGGCAGCATTGATGGTGGCGGGATGAAAATACACGTGCCAAAGTTCAAGATGCCCAGTATGGGTTTCTCCAAACCAGAAATCAAAAGGTCCCAAAGTCGATATGGACATCAGCGCACCCAAGGCTGACATTGCTCTTCCAGACGTCAGTGTAACCAAGCCTGAGATCAAAGCAGGTGACATTTCAGCAGATATCAAGTTCACAACACCCGACGTGAAGATTCCAAAGGGAGAAGCTTCCTTGGAACTGAAGGCTCCAGACCTAAACGTTGAGGCACCATCGGCACATGTCACTCTACGTGGAGTTGAAGCGAAGCTGGAGGGTACGGACAGTAAATTTAAGATGCCAAAATTTCAAATGCCCAAATTTGGAATGTCACTTCCCAAGGGGAAAGCCGCTGCAGAGGGAGAAATCACCTTACCTTCTGTGGAAGTGGATGTTTCCAAACCAGAACTGAAAGGGGAAGTGACCCTGCCCTCTGTGGGCATCGAGACTGACGTGAAATTGCCCGGAGTTGAAATGAAGGCACCTAGTGAGGAGTTGGAGGTCGCTGAGAAGGGCAAAATCAAAATGCCTGATGTCAAAATGCCAAGCGTCAAAGTTCCCAAGCTGAAGACTCCTCAAGTCGGAGTTTCACTGCCCAAGGTTGAAGCAGACATCTCTGTTCCCAAAGCAAAAGTGGAAATTCCAGAAGCAGAGGTCTCTGTTAAGGTGCCTGATGCAGAAGGCAGCATCGAGGTTGGAGGGATGAAAATACACACGCCAAAGTTCAAGATGCCCAGTATGGGTTTCTCCAAACCAGAAATCAAAGGTCCCAAAGTCGATGTGGACGTCAGCGCACCCAAGGTTGACATTGCTCTTCCAGACGTCAGTGTAACCAAGCCTGAGATCAAAGCAGGTGACATTTCAGCAGACATGAAGTTCACAGCACCTGACGTACAGTTTCCAAAAGGAGAGACTTCCTTGGAACTGAAGGCTCCAGACCTAAACGTTGAGTCACCATCGGCAGTTGTCACTCTAGGTGGAGTTGAAGCGAAGCTGGAGGGTACGGACAGTAAATTTAAGATGCCAAAACTCCAAATGCCCAAGTTTGGAATGTCACTTCCCAAGGGGAAAGCCACTGCAGAGGGAGAAATTACCTTACCTTCTATGGAATTGGATGTTTCCAAACCAGAACTGAAAGGGGAAGTGACCCTGCCCTCTGTGGGCATCGAGACCGACGTGAAATTGCCCAGAGCTGAAATGAAGGCACCTAGTGTGGAGTTGGAGGTTGCTGAGAAGGGCAAAATCAAAATGCCTGATGTCAAAATGCCAAGCGTCAAGGTTCCCAAAATGAGGACCCCTCAGGTGGGAGTCTCACTGCCAAAGGTTGAAGCAGACATCTCCCTTCCCAAAGCAAAAGTGGAAATTCCAGAGGCAGATGTCTCTGTTAAGGTGCCTGATGCAGAAGGCAGCATTGATGGTGGCGGGATGAAAATACACATGCCAAAGTTCAAGATGCCCAGTATGGGTTTCTCCAAACCAGAAATCAAAGGTCCCAAAGTCGATATGGACATCAGCGCACCCAAGGTTGACATTGCTCTTCCAGATGTCAGTGTAACCAAGCCTGAAATCAAAGCAGGTGACATTTCAGCAGACATGAAGTTCACAGCACCTGACATAAAGATTCCAAAGGGGGAAGCTTCCTTGGAACTGAAGGCTCCAGACTTTAAGGTTGAGGCACCATCGGCTGATATTGATGTAGGTGGCATTGAAGCAAAGCTGGAGGGCACAGACAGTAAATTTAAGATGCCAAAACTCCAAATGCCCAAGTTTGGAATGTCACTTCCAAAAGGGAAAGCCACTGCAGAGGGAGAAATCAGCTTACCTTCTGTGGAAGTGGATATCTCCAAACCAGAACTGAAAGGGGAAGTGACCCTGCCCTCTGTGGGCATCGAGACTGACGTGAAATTGCCCCGATCTGAAATGAAGGCACCTAGTGTGGAGTTGGAGGTCGCTGAGAAGGGCAAAATCAAAATGCCTGATGTCAAAATGCCAAGCGTCAAGGTTCCCAAAATGAAGACTCCTCAAGTGGGAGTCTCACTGCCAAAGGTTGAAGCAGACATCTCCCTTCCCAAAGCAAAAGTGGAAATTCCAGAGGCAGAGGTCTCTGTTAAGGTCCCTGAAGCAGAAGGAAGCATTGATAGTGGAGGGATGAAAATACACATGCCAAAGTTCAAGATGCCCAGTATGGGTTTCTCCAAACCAGAAATCAAAGGTCCCAAAGTTGATGTGGACGTCAGCTCACCCAAGGTTGACATCGCTCTTCCAGATGTCAGTGTAACCAAGCCTGAAATCAAAGCAGGTGACATTTCAGCAGACATGAAGTTCACAGCACCTGACATAAAGATTCCAAAGGGGGAAGCTTCCTTGGAACTGAAGGCTCCAGACTTTAAGGTTGAGGCACCATCGGCTGATATTGATGTAGGTGGCATTGAAGCAAAGCTGGAGGGCACAGACAGTAAATTTAAGATGCCAAAACTCCAAATGCCCAAGTTTGGAATGTCACTTCCAAAAGGGAAAGCCACTGCAGAGGGAGAAATCAGCTTACCTTCTGTGGAAGTGGATATCTCCAAACCAGAACTGAAAGGGGAAGTGACCCTGCCCTCTGTGGGCATCGAGACTGACGTGAAATTGCCCCGATCTGAAATGAAGGCACCTAGTGTGGAGTTGGAGGTCGCTGAGAAGGGCAAAATCAAAATGCCTGATGTCAAAATGCCAAGCGTCAAGGTTCCCAAAATGAAGACTCCTCAAGTGGGAGTCTCACTGCCAAAGGTTGAAGCAGACATCTCCCTTCCCAAAGCAAAAGTGGAAATTCCAGAGGCAGAGGTCTCTGTTAAGGTCCCTGAAGCAGAAGGAAGCACTGATAGCGGAGGGATGAAAATGCACATGCCAAAGTTCAAGATGCCCAGTATGGGTTTCTCCAAACCAGAAATCAAAGGTCCCAAAGTCGATATGGACATCAGCGCACCCAAGGTTGACATTGCTCTTTCGGACGTCAGTGTAACCAAGCCTGAGATCAAAGCAGGTGACATTTCAGCAGATATCAAGTTCTCTGCACCTGACATAAAGATTCCAAAGGGGGAAGCTTCCTTGGAACTGAAGGCTCCAGACTTTAAGGTTGAGGCACCATCGGCTGATATTGATGTAGGTGGCATTGAAGCAAAGCTGGAGGGCACAGACAGTAAATTTAAGATGCCAAAACTCCAAATGCCCAAGTTTGGAATGTCACTTCCAAAAGGGAAAGCCACTGCAGAGGGAGAAATCAGCTTACCTTCTGTGGAAGTGGATATCTCCAAACCAGAACTGAAAGGGGAAGTGACCCTGCCCTCTGTGGGCATCGAGACTGATGTGAAATTGCCCCGATCTGAAATGAAGGCACCTAGTGTGGAGTTGGAGGTCGCTGAGAAGGGCAAAATCAAAATGCCTGATGTCAAAATGCCAAGCGTCAAGGTTCCCAAAATGAAGACTCCTCAAGTGGGAGTCTCACTGCCAAAGGTTGAAGCAGACATCTCCCTTCCCAAAGCAAAAGTGGAAATTCCAGAGGCAGAGGTCTCTGTTAAGGTCCCTGAAGCAGAAGGAAGCATTGATAGTGGAGGGATGAAAATACACATGCCAAAGTTCAAGATGCCCAGTATGGGTTTCTCCAAACCAGAAATCAAAGGTCCCAAAGTTGATGTGGACGTCAGCTCACCCAAGGTTGACATCGCTCTTCCAGATGTCAGTGTAACCAAGCCTGAAATCAAAGCAGGTGACATTTCAGCAGACATGAAGTTCACAGCACCTGACATAAAGATTCCAAAGGGGGAAGCTTCCTTGGAACTGAAGGCTCCAGACTTTAAGGTTGAGGCACCATCGGCTGATATTGATGTAGGTGGCATTGAAGCAAAGCTGGAGGGCACAGACAGTAAATTTAAGATGCCAAAACTCCAAATGCCCAAGTTTGGAATGTCACTTCCAAAAGGGAAAGCCACTGCAGAGGGAGAAATCAGCTTACCTTCTGTGGAAGTGGATATCTCCAAACCAGAACTGAAAGGGGAAGTGACCCTGCCCTCTGTGGGCATCGAGACTGACGTGAAATTGCCCCGATCTGAAATGAAGGCACCTAGTGTGGAGTTGGAGGTCGCTGAGAAGGGCAAAATCAAAATGCCTGATGTCAAAATGCCAAGCGTCAAGGTTCCCAAAATGAAGACTCCTCAAGTGGGAGTCTCACTGCCAAAGGTTGAAGCAGACATCTCCCTTCCCAAAGCAAAAGTGGAAATTCCAGAGGCAGAGGTCTCTGTTAAGGTCCCTGAAGCAGAAGGAAGCATTGATAGTGGAGGGATGAAAATGCACATGCCAAAGTTCAAGATGCCCAGTATGGGTTTCTCCAAACCAGAAATCAAAGGTCCCAAAGTCGATATGGACATCAGCGCACCCAAGGTTGACATTGCTCTTTCGGACGTCAGTGTAACCAAGCCTGAGATCAAAGCAGGTGACATTTCAGCAGATATCAAGTTCTCTGCACCCGACGTGAAGATTCCAAAGGGGGAGGCTTCCTTAGAACTGAAGGCTCCAGACTTTAAGGTTGAGGCACCATCGGCTGATATTGATGTAGGTGGCATTGAAGCAAAGCTGAAGGGTACGGACAGTAAATTTAAGATGCCAAAACTCCAAATGCCCAAGTTTGGAATGTCACTTCCCAAAGGAAAAACCACTGCAGAGGGAGAAATTACCTTACCTTCTATGGAAGTGGATGTTTCCAAACCAGAACTGAAAGGGGAAGTGACCCTGCCCTCTGTGGGCATCGAGACTGATGTGATGTTCCCCGGAGCTGAAATGAAGGCACCTAGTGTGGAGTTGGAGGTTGCTGAGAAGGGCAAAATCAAAATGCCTGATGTCAAAATGCCAAGCGCCAAGGTTCCCAAAATGAAGACTCCTCAGGAGGTAGTCTCACTGCCCAAGCTTGAAGCAGACATCTCTGTTCCCAAAGCAAAAGTGGAAATTCCAGAGGCAGAGGTCTCTGTTAAGGTGCCTGATGCAGAAGTCAGCATTGAGGGTGGCGGAATGAAAATACACATGCCAAAGTTCAAGATGCCCAGCATGGGTTTCTCCAAATCAGAGATCAAAGGTCCCAAAGTTGATGTGGACGTCAGCGCACCCAAGGTTGACATTGCTCTTCCAGACGTCAGTGTAACCAAGTCTGAGATCAAAGCAGGTGACATTTCAGCAGACATGAAGTTCACCGCACCTGATGTACAGTTTCCAAAGGGGGAGGCTTCCTTGGAACTGAAGGCTCCAGACCTAAAGATTGAGGCACCATCAGCGGATTTCGCTCTAGGTGGAGTTGAAGCGAAGCTGGAGGGAACGGACAGTAAATTTAAGATGCCGAAATTCCATATGCCCAAGTTCGGAATGTCACTTCCCAAGGGGAAAGCTGTTGCAGAGGGAGAAATCACCTTACCTTCTGTGGAAGTGGATGTTTCCAAACCAGAACTGAAAGGGGAAGTGACCCTGCCCTCTGTGGGCATCGAGACTGATGTGAAATTGCCCGGAGCTGAAATGAAGGCTCCAAGTGTGGAGTTGGAGGTTTCTGAGAAGGGAAAACTCAAAATGCCTGACGTCAAAATGCCAAGCATGAAGGTCCCTGAGCTGAAGACTCCTCAAGTGGGAGTCTCGCTGCCGAAGGCTGAGGGAGACATCTCTGTTCCCAAAGCAAAAGTGGAAATTCCAGAGACAGAGGTCTCAGTTAAAGTGCCTGATGCAGAAGGCAGCATCGAGGGTGGAGGGATGAAAATACACATGCCAAAGTTCAAGATGCCCAGCATAGGTTTCTCCAAACCAGAAATCAAAGGTCCCAAAGTCGATGTGGATGTCAGCGCCCCCAAGTTTGACATTGCTCTTCCAGACGTCAGTGTAACCAAGCCTGAGATCAAAGCAGGTGACATTTCAGCAGACATGAAGTTCACCGCACCTGATGTACAGTTTCCAAAGGGGGAGGCTTCCTTGGAACTGAAGGCTCCAGACCTAAACGTTGAGGCACCATCGGCACATGTCACTCTAGGTGGAGTTGAAGCGACGCTGGAGGGCACGGACAGTAAATTTAAGATGCCAAAATTCCAAATGCCCAAGTTTGGAATGTCACTTCCCAAGGGGAAAGCCACTGCAGAGGGAGAAATCACCTTACCTTCTGTGGAAGTGGAGATCTCCAAACCAGAACTGAAAGGGGAAGTGACCCTGCCCTCTGTGGGCATCGAGACTGACGTGAAATTGCCCGGAGCTGAAATGAAGGCACCTAGTGTGGAGTTGGAGGTCTCTGAGAAGGGCAAAATCAAAATGCCTGATGTCAAAATGCCAAGCGTCAAAGTTCCCAAGCTGAAGACTCCTCAAGTGGGAGTCTCACTGCCAAAGGTTGAAGCAGACATCTCCCTTCCCAAAGCAAAAGTGGAAGTTCCACAGGCAGAGGTCTCTGTTAAGGAGCCTGATGCAGAAGGCAGCATTGATGGTGGCGGGATGAAAATACACATGCCAAAGTTCAAGATGCCGAGCATGGGTTTCTCCAAATCAGAGATCAAAGGTCCCAAAGTCGATATGGACATCAGCGCACCCAAGGTTGACATTGCTCTTCCAGACGTCAGTGTAACCAAGCCTGAGATCAAAGCAGGCGACATTTCAGCAGACATCAGCCTTTCAGCACCTGACGTGAAGTTTCCAAAAGGAGAGGCTTCCTTGGAGCTGAAGGCTCCAGACCTAAACGTTGAGGCACCATCGGCACATGTCACTCTAGGTGGAGTTGAAGCGAAGCTGGAGGGCACGGACAGTAAATTTAAGATGCCAAAATTCCAAATGCCCAAGTTTGGAATGTCACTTCCCAAGGGGAAACCCGCTGCAGAGGGAGAAATCACCTTACCTTCTGTGGAAGTGGATATCTCCAAACCAGAACTGAAAGGGGAAGTGACCCTGCCCTCTGTGGCATCGAGACTGACGTGAAATTGCCCAGAGCTGAAATGAAGGCACCTAGTGTGGAGTTGGAGGTCTCTGAGAAGGGCAAAATCAAAATGCCTGATGTCAAAATGCCAAGCGTCAAAGTTCCCAAGCTGAAGACTCCTCAAGTGGGAGTCTCACTGCCAAAGGTTGAAGCAGACATCTCCCTTCCCAAAGCAAAAGTGGAAGTTCCACAGGCAGAGGTCTCTGTTAAGGTGCCTGATGCAGAAGGCAGCATTGATGGTGGCGCGATGAAAATACACATGCCAAAGTTCAAGATGCCGAGCATGGGTTTCTCCAAATCAGAGATCAAAGGTCCCAAAGTCGATATGGACATCAGCGCACCCAAGGTTGACATTGCTCTTCCAGACGTCAGTGTAACCAAGCCTGAGATCAAAGCAGGGGACATTTCAGCAGACATGATGTTCACAGGACCTGACGTACAGTTTCCAAAGGGGGAGGCTTCCTTGGAACTGAAGGCTCCAGACCTAAAGATTGAGGCAACCATCAGCGGATTTCGCTCTAGGTGGAGTTGAAGCGAAGCTGGAGGGAACGGACAGTAAATTTAAGATGCCGAAATTCCATATGCCCAAGTTTGGAATGTCACTTCCCAAGGGGAAAGCTGTTGCAGAGGGAGAAATCACCTTACCTTCTGTGGAAGTGGATGTTTCCAAACCAGAACTGAAAGGGGAAGTGACCCTGCCCTCTGTGGGCATCGAGACTGACGTGAAATTGCCCAGAGCTGAAATGAAGGCACCTAGTGTGGAGTTGGAGGTTGCTGAGAAGGGCAAAATCAAAATGCCTGATGTCAAAATGCCAAGCGCCAAGGTTCCCAAAATGAAGACTCCTCAGGAGGTAGTCTCACTGCCCAAGCTTGAAGCAGACATCTCTGTTCCCAAAGCAAAAGTGGAAATTCCAGAGGCAGAGGTCTCTGTTAAGGTGCCTGATGCAGAAGGCAGCATTGAGGGTGGCGGAATGAAAATACACATGCCAAAGTTCAAGATGCCCAGCATGGGTTTCTCCAAATCAGAGATCAAAGGTCCCAAAGTCGATGTGGACGTCAGCGCACCCAAGGTTGACATTGCTCTTCCGGACGTCAGTGTAACCAAGCCTGAGATCAAAGCAGGTGACATTTCAGCAGACATGAAGTTCACAGGACCTGATGTACAGTTTCCAAAGGGGGAGGCTTCCTTGGAACTGAAGGCTCCAGACGTAAAGGTTGAGGCACCACTAGTCGATGTTGATTTGGGAGGTGTTGAGACAAAGGTGGAAGGCATGGACAGTAAATTTAAAAGACCTAAATTCCAAATGCCCAAGTTTGGAATTTCATTTCCCAAAGGTAAAGCCAGTGTAGATGGCATGGGCACCCTACCTTCTGTGGAAGTAGATGTCTCCATACCAGAACAGAAAGGCGAAGTCATACTGCCCTCTATGAGCATCGAGACAGATTTGAAATTGCAAGGAGCTGAAATACGGGCACCTAGTGCGGAATTGGAGGTCTCTGAGAAAGGAAAAATCAAAGTGCCCGATGTCAAAATGCCAAGCGTCAAGGTCCCCAAAATGAGGACTCCTCAGGTGGGAGTCTCACTGCCAAAAGTCCAAGCAGACATCTCTCTTCCCACAGCAGCAATGGAGAATCCAGAGGCTTCCGCATCTGTCAATGTGCCTCATGCAGAAAGTAGCATTAAGAGTGGTGGGATGAAAATGCACATGCCAAAGTTCAAGATGCCCAGTATGGGTTTCTCCAAACCAGAAATCAAAGGTCCCAAAGTCGATGTGGACATCAGCGCACCCAAGGTTGACATTGCTCTTCCAGATGTCAGTGTAACCAAGCCTGAAATCAAAGCAGGTGACATTTCAGCAGACATGAAGTTCACAGCACCTGACGTACAGTTTCCAAAGGGGGAGGCTTCCTTGGAACTGAAGGCTCCAGACTTGAAGGTTGAGGCACCATCGGCACATGTCACTCTAGGTGGAGTTGAAGCGACGCTGGAGGGCACGGACAGTAAATTTAAGATGCCAAAATTCCATATGCCCAAGTTTGGAATGTCACTTCCCAAGGGGAAAGCCACTGCAGAGGGAGAAACCACCTTACCTTCTGTGGAAGTGGAGATCTCCAAACCAGAACTGAAAGGGGAAGTGACCCTGCCCTCTGTGGGCATCGAGACTGATGTGAAATTGCCCGGAGCTGAAATGAAGGCACCTAGTGTGGAGTTGGAGGTCTCTGAGAAGGGCAAAATCAAAATGCCTGACGTCAAAATGCCAAGTATGAAGGTCCCTGATCTGAAGACTCCTCAGGTGGGAGTCTCGCTGCCGAAGGTTGAAGCAGACATCTCTGTTCCCAAAGCAAAAGTGGAAATTCCAGAGGCAGAGGTCTCTGTTAAAGTGCCTGATGCAGAAGGCAGGATCGAGGGTGGAGGGATGAAAATACACATGCCAAAGTTCAAGATGCCCAGCATAGGTTTCTCCAAACCAGAAATCAAATTTCCGAAAGTCGATGTGGACATCAGCGCACCAAAAGTTGACATTGATCTTCCAGACGTCAGTGTAACCAAGCGTGAGATCAAAGCAGGTGACATTTCAGCAGACACCAGCCTTTCAGCACCTGACATGAAGTTTCCAAAAGGAGAGGCTTCCTTGGAACTGAAGGCTCCAGACCTAAAGCTTGAGGCACCATCGGCAGATGTCACTCTAGGTGGAGTTGAAGCGAAGCTGGAGGGGCACGGACAGTAAATTTAAGATGCCAAAATTCCAAATGCCCAAGTTTGGAATGTCACTTCCCAAGGGGAAAGCCGCTGTAGAGGGAGAACTCACCTTACCTTCTGTGGAAGTGGATATCTCCAAACCAGAACTGAAAGGGGAAGTGACACTGCCCTCTGTGGGCATCGAGACTGACGTGAAATTGCCTGAAGCTGAAATGACGGCACCTAGTGTGGAGTTGGAGGTCGCTGAGAAGGGCAAAATTCAAATGCCTGATGTCAAAATGCCAAGCGTCAAAGTTCCCAAGCTGAAGACTCCTCAAGTGGGAGTCTCACTGCCAAAGGTTGAAGCAGACATCTCCCTTCCCAAAGCAAAAGTGGAAGTTCCAGAGGCAGAGGTCTCTGTTAAGGTGCCTGATGCAGAAGGCAGCATTGATGGTGGCGCGATGAAAATACACACGCCAAAGTTCAAGATGGGTTTCTCCAAACCAGAAATCAAAGGTCCCAAAGTCGATGTGGACATCAGCGCACCCAAGGTTGACATTGCTCTTCCGGACGCCAGTGTAACCAAGCCTGAGATGAAGGCAGGGGACATTTCAGCAGATATCAAGTTCTCTGCACCTGATGTGAATATTCCAAAGGGGGAGACTTCCTTGGAACTGAGAGCTGCAGACCTACAAATAGAGGTACCTTCTGCTGAGATTACTCTGGATGGTGCTGAGGCAAAGATGGAGGGCCTAGACAGTAAATTTAAGATGCCAAAGCTCCAAGCGCCCAAATTTGGAATTTCGCTTCCCAAAGTGAAAGGTGCAGACGAGGAGATCACTTTTCCATCTGTGGATATTTCTGTTCCAAAATCAGATGCTGACATCCAAAGACCAGATTCAGAAGGCAAAAATATTAAACGTGAAAGCTATGAAAAAGAAATTGTTGAAAAAGAAAGCAGATTTAAAATGCCAAAATTCAAGCTTCCATCATTTAGCTGGTCTCCAAAGAAAGAAGCAAGTGTTTTCTACTGATATTTATGCAAATTTAGAAGATCCCTCAGTTCCAGTTCCAACAGGTGATATTGAATCTGAATTAACACTCACTGTAGAGGAAGGTGAAGTCCACATTGAAGACCTAGAGGGACACATATCTTTTGATAAAGACAGCGAGAAAACCAAAATCAGAAGGCCTCATTTTAGCATGCCAAAGATATCCCTTCCAAAAATGAAAAGTCATAAAGCAGAAATATCTGTACCACAGTTGCATGCTGACATGACAGTATCTACGATAGAGGATGAAGGAAAGATGTCACTACAAATGCGGGATACAGATATCAGTGGTAGTGATTCTAGAAAAGGCATTAAAATGCCCGAAGTTAAGCTTCCAAGCCTAGAACTTTCCAAACCAGAACTTAAAGTTCCAAAAATGGACATGGAAATCAGCTTACCTGAAAGCGATGTCAAACTTTCTATACCTGATGCCAGTCTTTCAGAAGCAGAATTAAAATCACTTGATGTTGGTGATAATGTTAGTAAAACAATGGCAGAAATTAAAGTCCCTGTGGTGAAAGGCCTAGAAGTAGGAATTGAAGGACCGTCCACTGATATCTCTGTAGATGTAACAGAGATAAAAACTGAAGGAATGGATGGGAAGATGAAAAGGCCTAAATTCCAAAGGCCTAAGTTTGGAATCTCATTTTCTAAAGGAAAAACTCCAGACACCGAGATTAGTTTGCCATCTGAAGATGCCAAAGTTCCTCAGTTGAAAACGACTGCAGATATTGCAGATATTGCAGTAGAGGCTCCAACACTTGAAGGAGAAGGTGACTTAGCTGGTTCAGGAAAAACCGGCCCCGAAGGGAAAATTAAAATGCCCCCAATCCCTAGAGCCGACATGAAGATTCCAGCAATAGACATAAAATTACCATCAGTGGGTCTTTCTGTGGCACAGCCAGAGACGGAGGCTCAAGATTTGGTTGCTGCAGCAAAAGATGCTAAATTTGAGGGAGATATAAAGACTGGAAGTATAGATGCAGAAAAAAAGAAGGGCATTTTCAAAATGCCAAAATCAAATTGCCATCATTTA